ATATACTCGTTTAAAAGTTAAGCAGTAGAAACAAAACCTAAACCTGCTAAAATTATAGCATATTGTCGGTCCCAAGCCTGAAAAAAAGGTGAGGGGTTTTGAAGATTGTTTATTTATTTTAGATAGATCACTTAAAAAACTATATTAAGTACACTTCGAACACTCGATAATATATTCACACTATTCGCACGCTTGATTGATGCTCCGCCTCCTTATTCAAATGATACAATGACCTACATAGCCACAATGGCGAAGTTGAGATTTGGCACTGATGTATGCAATTTTATTTCATTGATATTATGTATCTATTGAGAGTCTCTCTATCAAAAATGATTTTGAAGTGTTTGTATTCATACCATACTTGTACATTTTAGCTAAAATATGTCAATGTTCTGATTTGAAAAGGCAAAAATCCGTGTTTAAAAAGGGGCCAGATCACAATGTTATGAAGAGTCATTCTTTCTTTATACATGCAGTCCTGTCACATAGGTGTTTCAGTCGTTTTCTCAGCACTTATCTTAATATATATACAAACCTAAACATACACATTTAAAAACATTGAAAAATATCCCACAAAATCCATCTTATGTTTACACGAAAAGAAACAGAACGTGTTGCATGCTGAAAGCAAATTTAGTTTACCAGTGAATTTCATTCCTGACTCCGATGGACAAGTTACAACAAGCATTCTAGGATAAACAGAATCTGCTAAAATTTGATCAATATACTACAGGACTTATTTAGTTTTCTATAAGCAATATACAAAATTTATATTTCAACAAAGTCGGAATATCCTTTTCTGCTACATGTAGGACTTAAAAGAAATAAAATGTGATTCCTGTCTGATATAAGATTCCCAAGCAATTTGTGTGTAGCTGGAAGATAGTCAATATCTCCACTTGACATATTTTACAGATATGATAAATAGAAGAAAAACATAAACAGACACACTTTCGTTGTTTCTGTGAACAGTCATTAAAAATACGAAATAAAAAAGAAATGCGTACTTACAGATTTCAATTTGTTTTGGAAATCACCAGTAAATGTCAATGGCGGTGCAATATTATGACGGAACTGGTTTACTAAAATGCATTTAAATACCTGTAAAGATTTTTTCTCTTAGCATAAAAAATTCGTTGGTTGGGCCAATAAATCTATTTTTGCGGACTTGAGACAACCTCTTTGTAGGCTGTATTGATTTATTTATTAGACTTTCTTGAAAGTGGAGATGGGACAAATACTGATACATGTTTGTGTACAAGTGAAATGAATAAAAAAAAATAAGCACCAGTCAAGATATTAAAATGATATAACGTTTTTTTTTCTCAATGTCTATTGTTGATGTGGTGACTCAATCATGAAAATCAATTGATTTGTAAAAAATAGTAACATTCATCATCATAAAGGAAAGGTTTACCATTGTACATTTTAAATGCAGTACTGTTCCTTATGTCTTTTATATAATTTATCATTGAGTTAAATGCTGACTGGCGTTTTTCATACCACTTGTTAATCCATTATTTTTACACTGAATTGACGACAGATGTTTCTGTTATTTCCCGATCATGACAAGGAGCACACGACGGGTGAAACCGGTTAGCAGGGGATGCTCACTCCTCCATGGCATCTGATCCCACCTCTGATGCTTAATTAGTTGACCCTGTTTGCTCTGCTTCTGATTATGGACTTGGAGATTGAATACTGGACGTTATCTCCATATCCTCCTTTAAGGTTACACACAAGTATTTCAAAGACTATGATGACTTCATTCTGGTTAATCCGACACTTATTTTAAATATAAAGAATGAAATATATGCAGTATTACAAGAATATAATTTATCATGAATTTTACGATTATTGATAATATAAATATTCTGCTTTGAATGTTGATAAGTCATTTAAATTAGCACTTTTCTATTAATATCAATATTCCTTTAATAGAAAGGTAAATATGACAGCTTTACATATCAACATGAACAAAGTATATAAAACAAACTTTGACAAAATTTTATAAAGCATTTTTCAACAATTACACTGAAGACAAACTATACACAATTCAAATACAGAGTACATAAATGTTTGTGGTGTACATGTACATGTTTAAGTTACATTTTTTCGCTATTCTCCGATCATGACAAATTGCGGGTTTGACCGGTCCGCAGGGGATGTTCACTCCTCCATGGCACCTGATCCCACCTGCGATGTTTTTAATGTTAGTGTTTGCTCTGCTTCTATTATTCTGTATTGTTTTATGGACTTTTGATCTTTGATTCTATTTGTTATCTCCATATTTTTCAGTCAAGAAGGGAACAAAGAAAATATATTTATTTAAATTCTTTATTAGCACTAAAGCACAATCCATATACATGCGCATAAATTCGAATGTGTTGTTAGCCATATATTACAAACTATTAAACTGTAGGAAGCTTGTTTTTAATATTTTAACGGTCTCTTATATAAAGACAATTATAGCCACTGCCAGGATTGTTATGTAGATACAAAGTTAAATGGATTAAGCAAACAAGATAGTGTAATAACATCTAGTTATTTTGAATACTTTTTCTGACATCTTTATTCATAGAAAAATCACGTTAAAATTGTTTTTCATCTTCAACAATGGTTTCATAATGGAACCAAATATTTATTTTTTCTTGAATGATAGGATTACAATATCTACCTGTTTCTACATAAAACGTTATTTGGAAATAAAATGAAAATAAATTCTTATGAAGTGAAACACATAAGTATGGTTAGATTTCAAGTTTTTTCACATCATAGTTGAATAATGTACTATAAAACCACAACTTGCCGCAATGAATATTGCTAGTGTGTTTGAGTTCACCAAATATTTTCAGAGAAAGCTTAGGAATATACAGTTTGAAATCTGTGTCAAAAACGAAATACAATGTAAGCATGAAAAACATTCAAGAGCAAAATGCCAATCTAAAATTATAATAATTGATTGATTGTATATTCTTAACTGTAGATTCCTTCTTTTTTGCGAGTACTTAATTCCGCGAATGAGTGCTTCAATGTCAAATCGCGAGAATAATAATTCGCAAATGGACGATTGTTCAAGAGATTTTACATAGATTTCAGCACAATAAAAATAAAGGCGAGTAATTTTATTTCGCGTGTGGTGCTACTCGCGAAATTACGCGATAATTAATTCCACGCGTAATATTTAGGAATCTAAAGTAACGTCTCAAAAAAATTTTCAATGACATTGAGACACCACCACTTGCCGGTGGAGATCTGCAAATTTTTTCTAATACTCGGCACCCATGGCCATTGAGCAGTGAGGGATCTTCTTCGTGCCAGCACCTATTGAGACACGGGGCCTCGGTTTATACGGTCTCATCCGAAGTACCAGTCTCCACGTCCCACAGTGGGATTTGCACTCGCCACTGCGCAACTCGGGCGACATTTAAAATTATAAATCAAGGTTATTATAAAAAGCATATAAAAACCTCATATAAAATGTTTGATATCAGTTCTTTTCAATTCTTCCTTCCCAAGTAAAAAACAATAATAATAGATAACTATTTCATTTGCATGCAACATCTACAGATGCATTTTTTTTCATTTTTTGCCCCGTTTGGGAATCAGAAGCGGTACTCTCTAGAAATTTGGATACGTTTTTGAATTGATACACTTTAGCAATATCTAATGCTGTTAGTTGAATTTTGCTTTTGACATTCAATATATGAAGAAAAGTGTTTGCTAGGTATTTACACAAATCCAATTTTCCGTTCATACAACAGAGATGTAGCACAGTTTTCCCATCATTTCTAGGGATTTTACCTTTGAGACCTTCTCCCTACATAGAATTGAATAATTCAATATTTTCACCCAGGATGCATCATATAACGCATTTTCGCCATCGTTGTCCTTGATATGAAGTAAATGAGGAAAAGTATTCACTAAGTACATGTACTTAGTACACATTGCTAGTTTCTCATTCATGCAACACAAGTAGAGCAGAGATTTCCCGTCTCCTCTTGTTGTTTTAATGTCAAAACCTTTTCTCAAAAGAAAGTTGAAAAATCAATGTTTCCACCCCATGCAGCAGCATGTAAGACATTCAAACCATCGGTATCCTTAATGTTTATCAAATCAGGATAACTCTCTATTAAGCGCTAACACATAGCTAGTTTCCCTTTCATACAACAAGCGTGGAGAACCGTTTTCCCATCATTGCTTGTGGTTTTGATTTCCAAATCTTTTCCCAACAAAAAATTGAACAAATCAAATGAATGTTACCACCCCAAGCAGCCGAATGTAAGACATTCAAGACATTCACTCCGTCATTGTCTTTTACATCTAGTAAATGAGGATAAACATTGACTAAATACTTGCACATCTCTAATTTTCCGTTCATACAACATTGATAAAGCACAGTTTTCCCTTTACTTGAACATTCCTTTATTTCCAAGCCTTTTTTCAACAGGAATTTTAACAAATCAATATTTCCACCCCAAGCAGCAGCATGTAAGACGTTAATTCCAGTTCTATCTTTGATGTATAACAGACAAGAATTATTTCCTTTTAAATACTTGCTCATCTCTAGTTCTCCATTCATACAACAGGGGTGTAGAACAGTTTCCCCATCATTCTTTGTGGTATAGATATCAAAACCTTTTTCCAACAGGACTTAAATATTTCAAGGCTACCGCCTTAAAGTTAACGATATAAAGTTAACGAGGGAAAGTGTTCACTAAGTAATTGCATATTTGTAGATTTCCGTTCATAGAACAAAAGTGGAGTACAGTTTTTCCGTCGCATCTTTTGTTTGTGATATCAAAACCTTTTCCAAACAGAAATCTGAATTCAATGTTACCACCCTATGCAGCTGCATGTAAAACATCCATGCCATCAGTATCCTTTATGTATAATAAATGAGAATAATTTTCTGTTAAATGCTTACATAAAGCTTGTTTCCCATTCATACAACAAATGTGGAGAACTGTTTTCCCATCATTGCTTGTGGTTTTGATATCCAAATCTTTTCCCAACAAAAAGTTGAATAATTCAATATTACCACACCATACTGCAGCATGTAAAACACTCACTCCGTCATTGTCTTTGACATCTAGTAAATGGGGATAAGCGTTGACCAAGTACTTGCACATCTCTAGTTTTTCGTTCATACAACATTGATGAAGCACAGTTTTCCCATCATTTGAACATTCCTTAATCTCCAAGCCTTTTTCCAACAGGAGTTTGAACAAATTAATATTTCCACCCCAAACGGCTGCATGTAAGACATTAATTCCATTTCTATCCTTGATGTATAGCAGATGAGAATATTGTTCAATTAGATACCTAAACATATATCTAGTTTTCTGTACAGAAAACATATATGAAGCACGTTTTCCCATCATTCTGTGTGGTGTTGATATCAAATCCTCTTCCCAATAGGAATTTGAGTAAATCAATGCTTCCTGATTCAGCTGACCAGTGCAAAGGAGACCTACCTCCATTGTCATTATAATCCGGAGAAAGTAAATTTGGAAACGTATCACATATATACCTGACCATGTTCAGTTTGCCGTTTTGACATGCATATTGGAGCATCGTGGAACCGCTACTAGACCTACTGTAATGGTCACAGTCACTCTTAATCATATTTTCAACAGGTTGTTTCGTCGACAACAAAGGCAACTGCAAACAGCAAAGGTAAATGTAGATCGTTCCCATCTGCATGATTTTGCACATCAGTTTTGTTTATTTCTTCTTTGTTTTTTGTCTGCATCTGTGTCCAATAAATCTGTTCCAGAAAACAAAATAAAAATCTTAGAGTGCACTATAAATCAAGCATTTTGCCCATACAGCAGTTTCTGACCTCCGAGGAGGACATATCTGTACATTTAATTCAAATTGCGCAAATTTAGAATTTTCAAACATTCAATGACTTTCAAGCAAAAATGACTTCCTGTTTGTGCAGAAATAATAAAAACGATTGCATAAAAACTTCTTTGTCTACCTGTTATAACAATACACAGTTTATAGACAAAATAATGCTATATCATTAATTCCTACCTATGAAACTTAGTTTGTCGATCCATTTCTTTTCCCGAATAGCTAGAGTCCATTGTTTGTGTCTTGAAAGAGTCTACCGACAACTGATGTGTTAGAACACCAAGGTAAATGTCGATTTCTTTCACAATATTGCAGATGTTGTTGAATTCTATTTAAAAATCTGTGTCAGGCATGTCTATATGGATAGCTTATCTATAATATTTGTTCCTAATCAATCATAGACGTTCGATATTTGCCGATACACATCTATCTGCAGGGTCAGGATCATTACCCCAACCTTGACTGTGTGCAGGTAGATTTGTGACATAACGTGAGAGAGTATAGAGCAATGATATATCCAAATTAGAATAATCTCCACTATAGATTCTTCATGTTGGTAGAAAATATCAAATCAGTTTGTGATTTATTGGGCGGATTCCTCTTCTCTGACTTCACCCAGCTTTTAACTCTCCTGGACAGGTCTGGTTTTGGCACCTCCTTTAAGAACACATCTTTCATGACGTCAGCACTTAGTCCTTGTATCAGGCGGGGGATCCGTGCTAAGTTTGTTGTTTCTGATGTAGACACGTACTTTGAACAATACATGATCTTGGTTTACATTTATTCTATACCATTTCCTTGAGTTTGATCTAGAATAGGAAATATTGAATAATAAAATCTAATTTTTATTAAACATGATTGACATGCACAATTTTCTAATGAAAATATTCATCATTTTTTAGTCATTTGAGTCCCTCAAGTCACCTTTTAGAGTTTTTGCCCGGTGTCGTTCTTTGTGCGTTTATATTTAAACATTTTTGAGCTTCCTTAAGCTTCTTCAATGAATATTTTGGCATAAATCATTCTTGGTTAAAGTGAAACGAAAATTTTAAATTTTATACGCCCCCAAGATAAGCAATGTACATGTATCATCATTAGTCAGCCAAATTCACCAATCAATACCTGTTTACAAAGTGAAATAACAAGCTAACCAAGGTAAGATAAGAATTCTTCTCAGTAATTTCATTACCAATTGGATCAGCCAAGCCATCCATTCCAGCTCCTAGGGGAAGACAGAAAAAAAGAAAAGAGTGTAAGAGATGTCAGGAGCTTGCCAACCTCCATCATATGGAATCTGATGATGAAGATGATCTGTATCTTACAGTGGAATACCCTGTAGAGTCTAAGACATCATCTGAGGAGATAGTAGGTTTAAACATTGTAACTGGTGACGACCAGGTACATGTAAGTACTGAAACTATTGATGAACCAAAGGAATGGAGTCAGCGTAGCATTTGATGAAGCAGTTGTTAGTGGAATGGTGGTTAATATAAATGAGGACAACCATTATCATGGAAACCATACAGTTGATGATGAGAACCAAGATGACTGACGATTTACCAAGGAGATCAACCAGTACGAAGCCATCAGGGATAAAGAGTTCAGCAATGTTTTTGTTGTCACCTATAATGTAGTTCATCTCATTTGGCTGATTCTTTATGTATATCAATACTACATTTAGCATGTAACTTTATCCTGAAGCCAGAAAATACAGTTTCCTATGACAGCATTCTTGCTCGAAAAAAGGAGGTTTAAATTAAATTCTTGAGAGAAGCTAACTTACATTTCCATTGTTATTATAGATTGATTAAAACTAAGACGTAATTTAACTTTTCTTTTCACCATTTCTGTAGGTGTTGGTCACTTCCTAGATGCACTTTTGTGAATAATTTACCTGATACATTGGAATTTTTGCTGTAGTACCACAGAATCTTGCCAGGGCTATTGCGATATCCTCGGCTATTATATTTTGCTAAACACTCAAACTTAAAGGTTCCAAATGTGTTTGTAGAGGTGGCATACCTTAAATAAAAAAATAGTTGTACAGATTATCTATAAAGTACATTTCCTTTCCTGTTCGATTCAGATCAAGCTTAAAATTTCTTTAATCTTTAGAATGTATTTTTTTGTATCGTAAATTAGAGCATCTTCTTTGACTTCCTACTAGATAGTGCCCATTGCTTCAAGGATAAGGAAATACTATATCAACAGAGTATACAGAATGTATATTCATGAACCTGAAATATAGATAATGTGCCATATTCAATCTCAGGCAGACCAAGAAGTTCTATGTTTTCCTTGATATTCATTATGAGGGGTTTTCTTTCGACTGTACTTTTCGTAGTGGGTTTACACGGTAGGTAAATAAATATCTGTATTCAATATGTCAAATTTGTAACTTGGATTGTAAGTGTACATTTTTATATTAAAACACATCATGAAAACAAGAAAGCTGTTGTTTTGAAATTAAAGAGGCTTTTTGTAATTTAATTTTCAGATATGTTTTTCATTTTATCCATATGAAGCTTTAATACTTATAAAAAATTAAAAAAAATATTATATATGATTACCTCATTAACTTTCTTGCATATAAAACATGCAATTGCAGAATGATACAGCTAAAGTTTAAAAATTGTAATAAGATTTAAAGTTTTAAAGCGTGTTCTTTCTTAGAAGAAATGTCATATTTGATTGTCTGTAAAGACTGGATAATTAGATAGTAATTTCACGGCCTGGTCCTATGATAAGAAAAATAACACCTTGATTGTCCTAACATGTATGTTACTCTTTATATCAACATTCAGAAGAATGTTATCTCAGAAATGGATCACATTTATACACTTTTAAGAATCGTTTTTCTAAGTTTATGTCAGTTTTCCAGGGGATAAAAAAAGAAAAATATAAGACACAATTTGAAACAAATGTGTCAATAATCATATTGAATGATATAATGAAACATGTGGAGATGACGAACAGTATTCAATCTCAAAGTCAATAAAACAATACAAAACAGGAGCATAGCAAACACGGACCTCCGAAACATCAGATGTGGGATTAGGTGTCATCGAGGAGTAAGCATCCCCTGCCGAGCTGTCAAATACCGCCGTATGCTCTTTGTTATGATCTGAAATAAACGGAAATATCCGTCGTCTATTCAGTGTATAATAATGGACTAACAATAAGTATGAAAAACATCCGTCAGCATTATACTCAATGATAAATTTTATTTGCTAACAAGGTCATTGTATCGACCATAGAACTTACGAAATGATGACTTTAAACGAGACTGCAGATATTCTTGTTTCATCAACTTGCTTGTCATTAATTTACCTCGTTAAAGAAATTGTTCAAATAATTATGAAGTAACCTGTAATTTTAAAATCCTCAAATATGATACAATACATGTACAGAGCCCTTAAAAATTCTCAATTAGGCAAATAATTATTTGATTGTAGGTGTCAGTAGTGGTACCACGTGTCAGAATGGCTGGACGGGATACAACTCAAGGTGTTACCTGTTTGTCATGCATATGTCTGTGGACTGGAACGAAGCATCGGTACGCACAAGTGTTTTGTTCATCATCAGTAGATTTACCAATGCATAATGCAAAGGAAATAGACTAGGAATTGTTGAAACCATTTTCCATCGATGAAATTTTCATAATTAATTTTAAGATGAAAAAAAATTAAGAACTCAATATGTGTTAATGAGGGATAGGTAGGCAAAGCAATTTGAGATTACGATAAAATGTTTTATTTGAATTGCAATACTTATAAAGAAATCATGTTTAGTTAAGCAAATTATGTGATTTTTTTTTTATTTTTCTTATTCATTTTATTTAAAACCAATTGATGAAAAAAATCAAATTTTCCTTTATTTTGAGTCTTCAAATTATGATAGCACTAACTCATATAGAATTGATATAATCACCATATTCTTAAGATAGTGATGGTTTATTTTCCTTTTCATTTTGTTCATCATAATTTATGATACAGAAGTAAGGACATTTTTTTTATCTATTTTGCTTCGTACCCTTTCTATTTATTATTGGACTTTTTAAAACTTATGATTCTAATTTTGATAGAATCTTTTTAATCTCTTGATACATTTTTTTATTTCAAAAAAGATAAACATGAGGTAAACACAACTTCGTTAAAAAAAACTAGAAAGAAGTAAAGTTATCTGATGATCTACAAGTACATCACAACAAATACTAGTACTAGTACTACAGACGGTATATATTTTCTTCATGCGAGAGAGTTCCTCTGCTCGGCCTTTAGATTTATTTAAGCATTTCATGAGTGTCATATATACAACTTCTTTGACTTCTTTTTTTCGCACAGAGCCTTTATTATGCAAAAGATATTATTTAAATTATATTTGTTAAAGTATTTTTTCTGAACATTTATTGTTCCAGTTCAGTAACGTTAGAATTTTGATGCATTTAAAATTCAAAGTTATTATATTACAAGACTTTTTTTCATTATTTTCTTCGAGCAATTTTGTCATACACAAAACTCTAGACTGGCGGAAATCGACAACGCTAGAGAAGATAACTTTCTGATCCAGCATCTCAGAGATTATGGACGGACAGGTACTGTTAATATTAGAAGAGCTTTAGAAATATTCAAACTAGAACCAGACTGATGTTCAGATATTTTTGTACTGCAAGTATAAATTTGCTTTAAATGTTCTTTTTCTTATTTTTATCTTTAGTAAGAGATAGTGTCAATAAAAAATTGAATGATTACACTGTTTCACTCCATCTTTACATTTAAAACGCAATTTACGTGATATAAGTGGTTCCGTTATCTATTTTCCTCATAAAGCACTGTAACAGAAGGAATCGTTCAAGATTGCAATGTGTTTTTACCAGTGTTTCATCTTTCTGTCATTCAATCTGTGCAAATTCAATTAATAACTGATGATTTAAATGGTTGACTTTGTAAATGTCCGAAAACATTTCATGTTTTTAAGAATGTGATGACGTTCAGACATGACAATTAATAAGAATTTGGAAAAAAGGTTGTATGGTACGAATATTACCAAGCAAAATGAATTGTATTTAGATCTCTTACTTACACGTTAAAAAATGCACAAGGAACCCATAATCAAAAGGAGAAGAAATGTGCTATACGAGCAAATACGATTTTGAATTTAGTCAACCGGTAATCCAATATTCCTATTCTGTGAGTACAGCTGACTTCTGGGTGGGCGGAACTGACGTCATAATAGAAGGAGACTGGATATGGGCCTTATCGCAGACTCCAATACATCATTACACTCACTGGGGCCCCGGAGAGCCAAATAATCTTAATTCTGATGAAAACTGCATGGAAATGTCTGCAGGTCATCATTATCTTTGGAACGATGCGCCATGTTCTCTAAGACAGTATTTCATTTGTGAGCAACCGTAAGTATTTTTATATTACGAAAAGTAAAAGAAATCATATCTATTCAATGTTAGCAGGACATATAGACAAAATATTTTGCACTTGTATTGCTAATCTCACAACTAAAACATTAACAACATGAATGATTTTAAAATTCATTGAGCACGTCAATTTATTTGAGATTGAAATTCGATCTACCACTAAGTTGGGTCTTAATCAAGACAATACATTATCGAAGGTTAGGTAAAGTAAAATAAAATCCAATTTAACATACTTAACCACAAATTACCATTCAATTCTTGGAAGTTTCAACAAGAGGCCCATGGGCCACATCGCTCACCTGAGAAGCTTTGACCATTCTGTTCTTTCTCCGATTTCTCCCTTGTAGTACATATTGTGACCCCACTTTACCCCACTGATCATAATTAAGACAACTTGAAATTTACACTACCCCAGGATGCTACCACATAAGTTTCCGCTTTACTGGCCCAGTAGTTCGTGAAAAGAAGATTTTTAAAGATTTTTCTTATATATTTCCATGTAAAACTTTGATTCCCCATTGTGGCCCCGCCCAAACCCCGGGGGTCATGAGATTTGAACAATTTAGAATCTACATTACCTCAGGATGCTTCCACATACATTTCAGCTTTTCTGGCCCTGTGGTTCTTGAGAAGAAGATTTTAAAAGATTTTACCTATATATTTCTATGAAATACTTTGATTCCCAATTTTGTCCCCGACCAACCCCCGGGGGTCATGAAATTTGAACAATTTAGAATCTACATTACCTCAGGATGCTTTAACAAAAGTTTCAGCTTTTCTGGTCCTGTGGTTCTTGAGAAGAAGATTTTCATTTCCCCTTCATTTTAACAATTCAAATTCCCCTTCACCCAAGGATGTTTTTAAGAAAGTTTGGTCAAAATTGGTTCAGTGGTTCTTGAGAAGAAGTCGAAAATCTCAGCTATGTTAAGGAAGGTCATAGTTCACATTCCTTACACATCGTATTGAAAGTTTAATTGTGACGTCATTGAAATTAAACAAGCTACAAAAATTAATTAACGAAATGATCATGCGTAAATAACAACTTGATTTTTTTTTTATTTTATCGATTATTTATAAAATCTTGTAAAATTGCAATACTTGATAGCAGTACAGTCGAGTAATAGAAGAAATCCTTTCGTCAAATATGACGTCATCAACCTTGACATGACGCAGCACAAGTGATCCAGAGGACTAGATTCACTGACTTAATTATTACAAGAATGCTTAAATAAATATGATATCATTGCTAATTTTTAAATCTAATCATTAAAACTAAAAGAAAATAATTTATTAAATATAATGTGTATAGAATATGAATTTATCCAGTAGCATTGAAGCTGCACAGGGACAAGGAATGTAGAGAATATCGCTAAAACGATGAGCGTATTCGTAATTTACATCAAAAGTGCAAGGGCATAGACTATTTTGTTTGAGCTGAAATTTGGAATATTTATTGCTTATATAGTATATATTTTAAAAAGTGCTGGGAGCTGATCTTGGTTTGCATAACATTGATTTTATTTATAACAGAATTTAAGCGAAGTGGAAATTTTAAGCTATTATAAGCATTTTAGGCAAAATTTTAAGTTCCTGCAAACAGCACTTACTAGCTCCCAGCACATTTTGGGTAGACGATATAAACCTCTTTAAATGTGTATCAATTTTTTTCTTGAAAAACAAGCGTATGCCCTTGCACTATCCCCATTTTCTACATTCAGCTTAACAATTCTATTTTTATAAAAGTCACGTGACAAACAGCTGATACGTGCGAAATAACTGGTGATACGACCCAGTCCTATCCATTATTGATAGCTATATTACATATTTTACAAGTATTTAGTTGCTTTGTTACAATTTTTTAAAAGGAGTAATACATATCAAAACGGTGCAAAGGTAACATTTTCCATATAGGTCCTTAACATAGCTGAGATGTGAAAAGTTTACAGCCTTCGGCTCAAGTGAGCTAAAAAAGTCATCAAAATGGACAGACTAGAGATCGAATCTGGAAGATCATGTACCCTTATTGTTCGCTTCATTGATCCAATGTGTCCGCAATTTAAGACCATCAATTGAGAAAAGAAATCTAGTAGAATCCTTTTAAAAATGTTTTTTACGATAAAATTGAACCAGTTCTGACGCTAAGCAAAATATTAGATTAAAGATTTGATTTTCAAAATTTTAAAAAATTCAGGCATTTCATGAACTATTAAAAGACTTCTGTTTTAAATACTCGCTGTATGAAATATAATGAATTATTAAAACAATTTTGTTTCTATATATTAACTGAATAAAGAGTACATACTGTATACAGGGAAAATTTCGCCCCCGTTTTATTTTCGCCCCTATCTCCCTACTATCACTATATACTAAACTGGGCGATTTCAAAGAATACAGTACAATTTCTTGAACAAAACTATGACTGTGCGAATTTAAAACGGGGCAAAATTGTTTGCAAGTGTGAATGGGCGAAAATAAGACGGGGCGAAAATGATTCTGTATACAGTGTATAGAATATATAGATATAACGAACAGATATCAGGATCAAAAACCCATAAAATAATACAAAATTGGAGCAGAGCTAACAAAGACCTTTAAGAACTCAGAGCTGGGATCAGGTGGAGTGGAAGAGTGAGCATCCATGTCTTATTAGTAACACTTCAATTTTACAAAAAAAAAAAAAAAAATCACTAATACTAATGAATCTTAAACACCACCCTTGTTGTGCATATATGTATATACTGTAAGAATAATTCACGTTGAGATGATTTCTGAAATACACATCTGTTATTTTTCGTTTTCAGAAGTGCATCTGGTCCAGTCGTTGGATGATTTACTGATATGGGGTTATAGGATTTTGAAGTCAATAAAAAAGGGAAAAGTCTTTTAATTATCTTCTTTAAAAGTGTCAAGGTTACTTGGTTAGACTTGTTGTATCTCTCTCTCTCTCTCTCTCTGCCTCTGTCTCTCTCTAGATAGCTGTCTGTCTGTCTTTCTGTTTTCTGTCTGTATGGCTGTCTGTCTAACTGTGTAGCTGTCTGTCTGTGAGCTTTTCAGATCAAATTTTGTCTCTTGTCTTCGCTGTCGTTGTAAACATTATCATCTTCTCCAAAACTTCTGGGCCCATTATTAAAGAATCAAAAGTATCCCTGGATGCATGGAGGGAACTAAACCTTTTTTCAAATGAAAATAACGTTCTCCAAAAATGGAGAGACCAATTAAAAAAAGCGAAAACATGGCATCATTAAAAATTCCCAAGACAATGTGGGCATGGAAAGACGAAAATCATATGGAATCATTGTCGGGTAACGTGGAATCAGATTTGTTCGAATCATTACATTAGTTGAAGGTCACAATTGAAAAACAGCAAAGAAATGATCCGTCAAATTGATTTGAAAGCATCCTCAGTTGATGTAAATTCAAGCTGGTTAAAATCATGACCCGAGGAGTAGGATGGAACCACAATGGACAATCGAAGTTTAACTTTGGAATGTATAGAAGAAAAATCTTTTTAGAATAGCAAAACAACGATGATCATTTTAATGTGAAAGCATCTGTAGATGGCAATGATTTAATTTGTTCAAATGATGACACCCCCCACCCCCACCCCAATGGTGGAATGGTTTCTCAATGAATGGTCGACCGTTCACGGTAGCTCAGTTGGTAGAGCGCTAGCTCCGTGATCGGGAGGACGTGAGTTCGTATCTCGGCGGCGACTGGCCTAGTTGATAAAATGGGTAGCATTTGTTCCTTCGCCATGCGCTCGGCACTTTGAAGTGAAAGTTGCTGGTTCTTCGGATGAGACCTAAAAAACCGAGACCCCGTGTCAGCGGCAGGCGTTGGCACGATAAAAAAACCCTCGCTGCTCAATGGCTCTAAGTGCCAAGTAAAGGTCTAAATTTGAAGACCTTCACCGGCATACGGTGACGTCTCAATATGAGTGAAAATTCGCGAGAGGAACGTTTAACAATATACAATCAATAAATCAACGGTCGAAGTTCCATATAGGATTATATAGATAAAATACCTTTTAAAAATCTTCATCTCAATAATAGCTAAGCCAGGAAACATGGAGTTAACATATAAAAACATAAAGGAATAGAGCAAACACGGACATCTAAAACTAAAATGCAATGGAGGAGTGAGTATCCCCTGCCGACTGGTCAAAAATTACTGGAATATAAAATATTTGTCTTGCACATCTGTTTCATATTTCGATATTTTAATAGAAAAAGACTTTAATGAAAATTTATCTCATACGTGTGGATGATACTATCCGTTGCTTTATCCATGGGTAGATGCGTTATCAATAGAAGTTCCGGTTTTGACACGATCCCTCGCTTCAATATTTCATATTTTCTTGAAATTTTTATTTGTGAAAATTCTTGCACTTACAAAATGAATAATAAAGAGCAATAATGTTATTAAAAGCAAGAAAAAAACTAGTTTATGTCAAAGAAGTGTCTAATTTTATCAGCTGAAGGTACCTGTATTGGCTACTTGAAGACGGATGTTACCCCCACCCCTTCCTTTAAATCGTTTTCGGAGAAAGTGAAGCCTAGCAGGAACTTTGTTGTTATAAGATTCCTTTAACAGCATCAAAAATACATTCTTATGCTTTTATGCCTACCTAGTAATGTAGGCGTAACTTTCCATGGATCAGCAATGAATCTTCAAGTACCCTTGCCTAGCACGTTTTGTACTGCAAACGTACAAAGAGTTAATTTTCACGACCCCTTGGTCCTTACAATATTCAGTCTGAAGTTCGCTTGATGTAAAGCTCCAGCAATTGTCAAATAATGTTTTCAAAGAGGCAGATAGCAAAAAATTTTGAATACGATTTATATCTATGCGTCATCAATTTGAATTAGAAATCATCATGTAGACAGTTTTACAGGGGAAGTCTCAAAGATTTGTTAAAACGAAAGTCGTATGAGATGAATAGAACAGTTCACGAATATAATTATACACCATTTCAACGCGTTGGATAAAACCAATATCAAATAACACAATATAGATATCCTCTATTTATCAACCAAGCTCTATGATAAACATGATGACTTTAACTTTTGTTCTTTACTTATGCAACAGTCATCTGCATACGGAGTTTTGATATCTCCCGATCAGTTGATCTGATACGCAAGAGTATACCCTACGTATGAACAATTTCTTTGTCAGCAAAATTTTAATTTATTAACACAAATGCTGACTGACGTTTTTCATACTAATTGTTAGTCCATTATCATGCAGTGAATTTTCAACGTTTTTTTCGTGATTCTCCGATCATGTGGAGCAGCACAAAACACGTGTAAAAGGTCATCAGGGGATGCTCACTACTCCATGGAACCTAATACAATCTCTGATGTTTCGGAGGTCTGTGTTTGGTTTGCTCAATTTTTGTATTGTTTTATGGACTATTGATCTCAAATACTGTTCATTATCTCATTTCTCAGGTAGGCAATGTGTCCCTTTGGGTCTCTTGTTTTTTTTTCTAAACGTAATAAAAAATGGAGATTTATAAAAATTAATTTGATACACTTAAATTATATTATTTTTTTGCTAAAATTTGAATAATACATTCTCTCATGCATTCCGACCAAAATTCATCCAGCGTTCAATTTTCTATTATACATAAATAATTTCTTATCTGTGATTGGGAGAAGGACATCACATTACTAAAATCAGAGGAATTTCTTACCATGTCTGTCCCTACCATCGCCGGGACCTTTGTGATTGTTTTCTGCCTACCAGGTAATACTTGCTTAAACTATCCTTTTTAAGTGATAGTTTTCTGGCTTTCAATTTCAGAATAAATAAATATGTATGGGGTTCGATTTTTGTTCGTTGCACCACGTCAAACATCAGAGTTTAACGAAATGCATTAAAAGTGAAAGTCACGGGTCTTTTGAAGATGACCTTAAACATTTAGGTCCCGTGTCACAGTAGACGCCGTTGGAAATTTAAAAGAAACCCACTGCTTAGATGCCATAAGTGCCTTTTACAGATTTTAAAACCCTTCTCCAATAACTGATGACATTTCTACATGAGCGAAAAGTTCTCGCAAAGGACGTAAACTACAAACAACCAAGTACAATGACTATCCTATAAAAATACATGCACGTCGGTTATAATGTTTTTAATATTGATTGATTGTTTGTATATTTTTGACGTCCTTTTCGTTAATTTTTTTCCTATACTCGGCACTTAAGGACATTGAGAGGGAGGGATTTTTTTCGTTCCAGCACCTACTACGACATGGGACCTCGGTTTATAAAGCCTCATTAGAAGGACCGGTCTCCATGTCTAACAGTTGGATTCGAACACATGACGTTAGGATTGACTCCTTACTTCGCGACTACATAGATCAGGCGCTCTAACCACTGCGCCATGCTGGCGACCGTCTTTGATATTGAAATTGAATACAATGAAAATTGTTTTATCAAACATTTGTGTAATCAGTCACGCTGTGAATTTAGACGTTACAGTTTCTAATATCATTCCCATTTTACTATTTCCCTTGGCTTGTACACTGTCTAATCCGAAACCTTGTATATCGCGACGAAAAAATTATCTCTCAGCGTACATTGGGTTCGACAGATCTCACTGTACACTCACTGTTATTAAGATATTATTCAGAAGAAAGTAATGTTATACAACTATGGACTTCAGTGTAGGTCGATATGTGGTCATAAGGACTCATGGCAATTGATATTGACCAAAGACACAGACAGTGATAGCGACCGAGCCTACGAGGTCGCTATCACTTTCTGTGTCGGAGGTGAATATCAATTGCCATGAGTCCTTATAACCACATACTAGTATAGACCGTTCACTGAAGTCCATAATACCGGTAGTTATATCATAAATCACTCTAAAGAGAATGTACTGTCACAGTCCTAACTAAACAGACTTTGCTTTCATTACGTCACAATGGTAATGACCTCTTGTTCTACGTAACTTCAGTGCAACTAAACGCTGTTTCGTGCGATATTTTCCGCCGACGCGCTTTCTCGTCGATTTCACCAAAAGAGGAATATCTGGTGACGTCCTTTCATCCAATGAAAATTACGAAAATAATCTTTTGATATAATATTTATTTATTCAGAATTATGATCGAGATCTCACCATACGGGTTTAAATATGACGTTAATTCATATTTTCATTTACGTAAGGAGCAAATGGTCAGTTCATACCACTTGGCCCAGTTCCAAGCAAAACCAATATACCACCTACCACAACCACCACTACCGCACCACCGTCGACCAACCACTTCCACTTCATAACACTCCCACAGAGTCCACAAAGCACTCACAGCATCGGTTGTCCAGATGGTTGGACTAGATATGATTCTCGGTGTTACTTTTTCGCTACTCACATTGCACATGATTGGGTAGAGTCAGCGGTATGTTTGTTTGTTATGAAACTTACACTGCTTTACAGAGAGTAACTCATTTTGTAATGCATTATCAGATGCTTGATTAGATGCCTGATTACTTTGAGTTTTTTAATAAGCTTAATCAATTGTATGTTGTTTAGCGTCCCTTTCGCTAATTTTTCACTCATATGAAGATGCTACTACTTGCCGGTGATCAGCTACAAATTTTGCTTGGCACTTATGGCGTATATGCGAGGTCTTTTTCATGCTAGCACCTACTGCGACATGGGACCCAGGTTTCTACACCTCAGCTGGTCCCCAACAACCTTTTTTTAAAAGAAATTTAGTATATTGTAAATACTTCTTCCATGAGTAGTCAATACTTACAGTAAAGGAATAATGTGCATTTTGGGAAAATAAACGTAATCGTTATTTTGAGTGAAATTTCGTCTTTTAATTTATAATAATTGTTTTTTACTTTCATTTCTGTAGTCATTAATTTGAGTAATAACATGTAACCCTAAAACTGAGGTAAGATAACCTCACTTGGCATTGTCTTGGATGCATAGAACCGGTAGTTATCATTAATATGACATTGTGTTGTTTTCTATCATTAATGTAGATATTGTCAATGAATGTTCGATTGTTTGAATGTAATTAAACGCTTCTCTGGAGGGTTCTTTTTCACTCAAATGAAGACACTATCACTTTCTGCAAGATTGATTGTATGTTGTTTAACGTCCCTCTTGAGAGTTTTTTACTCATATGGAGATGCGACCACTTGCCGTTGGAGGACTACAAATTTTGTCCTTTGCTCAGCACTTAGGGCCTTTGAACAGTGAGGGATCTTTTTCGTGTTACCACCTACTGCAACACGGGGCCTCGATTTCTACGGTCTCATCCGAAGGACCGGTCTCCACGTCCCCAATGGATTCGAACACGCGACGTAAGGATTGACTCCTTACTTCGCGAATCTAGAGCAGACGCTCTAAACAATGCGCCACGCGGGCGACATTTCTGCTAGAGAGCATAAAGTTGTAATGGAGATATTCTGAAAAAGGACTTTTTTAAATGTTGTGAATTAGTACAATGAATAAAGTGTTGGGTTTAATGCTTTACGTAACATCATTTTTTCCAGCATTATTGTTCACAGTTTGGTGCAACATTGGCAACCATCGAATCAGAAAGAGAGAATAATTTTATAAGACAACATTTACTCGACTTTGCAAAACCAGGTATTGTAAAACAAACCTAAGATTGAAATACTTAAGGAGGATGTCTCCTTTCATTAATCGCATTGAGGTTTAGATTATTTTTTGTGCAAGCTGCATGTTAAAAAGGAATTCAAACTAAACAATACTTAAAAGGCTACTTCAAAAGAGGAAAAAATTATCTTTCTTTTCTAAAAAAAAAAAACGCTCGCCACAAAATATAGTTCTTCACCAAGTGTTTTTATATAGAAAATAATCATGGATTTTAAATGATTGTACTTAATTAAGCATTACAGAATCCAAACTTATTGTAAGAACTAAAATATTATGAAGATTTTTTAAAAAAGAAGGTAAGAAAAAAAATCTGCTGAAAACTGAGGAGCGAACCTCGTGAATAATTTGCATTGATGATCTTTCTAACTTGCCATGGAGATATTAACCATTTGTATTAATCAGGTATAACTATCCCAAGCAAACAGATTTTTTACTTTTCTGATGGTGAAAATATCAAAATAAAAAAAGTTTTTTTTGTTTCTAAGTCTAATGTCTTCTTTTTTTCGAGTTGATTTTTGGGTTGGAGGAACTGACACTGTTATTGAGGGTGACTGGCAATGGGTGACGTCACAAAACATAATGACGTATTCTGATTGGTATCCCGGCAACCCAAGTAATTTTCATCACAGTGAGAACTGCCTTGAGCTTCTCCATAATTACAAGTATCACTGGAACGACCAGGACTGCCGTGTAGTCAATCAATTTATCTGTGAAATGTCGTGAGTACTAAAAATATGTCGATTTCATGACTTCCTTGAACTAAGATAATATAAGATATAAGATCTATAACTCTGTTATCAACTGTAATGTCCTAATTTTAGGGAATTGTTACATATTATGTTATCTCTGAACAATTTGGTAATGCCAAACTAAATTCTTTGGAAGATATTTATAAGAATTGCGGAATTTTTTCTTCATTGTAAGAAAATATATTTTAGGATAAAGCCTTAATAATAGTTTATTTTAAGGATTCTTCCCTCATGTATTAATCAGTAGGATAGAATAATCTGTTGTCAAATTTAGAATCTGGGTTCAGTCTCGTTGACTCTTGATTAAACAGTAAAAAAAGGGAATCATTAAGAATTAAGCATCTCTTGTTGACGTGTAACATTCGCCGTAGGCCATCTTTAAACAGAGTAAAATGTGTAAAATTAATATCAAGAACGGCTTCACAATTCATGTGAAGCAGATCAGTCCATGTACGACCTAACAATAGGTCTTATTTGTAAGCAAGGCCATTGTGAAGACTTTTGAGATTTTCGCAAGGTGACCTTACAGCCGCTTGGTCTGATTCTAATCGCTAAAAATATATATTCGTTTTTCTCCTTGAAAAATAATTGTCCATAAATTGTTTCTATTTTTGTTAAATTATATCCCTAAAGTCTTTTTCTTTTAAAAGATATCAAAATTCAAAAGTTATAAAAATAATTTTCGTTAGGTCACACAAAAAATAGTCCATTGTTGATATCGTGTAAAATCACCTTCGAAAAATTGAATTTATCGCTTACATGTTTATCTCATGAAGAACAAACCCGAGCCCTTTTTTTCACAACAAAGTACGTAATATTGTCCGTGTACAGGTAGATATTATATTACCTGTACACGGACAATATTTTAGCTCCTTTAAAAAAATCATTTAAAATATCTGATTTTCCTTTATTCTTTAAATATGAATATCAATATAACAATTACTATGGATTTTATTCAATTGATTCTTAATTTTGAAAAGATGTATTATGACTAAGGCTTCTACTAATAGAGAAAAAAAAATACTCGGGTTTGAATTATCTTCATTATTAGATATATCCGATAACCTTATTTTTTTCAAAATTGACTTCACAACAGATCTTAACTTCCGTCAGGAACTACTGTTTGTCAATAAGGTTTTTGATCTGCGTTTTCTATGTAAGAATTGTTGTAATAAACTATTAAATCAATCTTATAATTTATTTTTACATATTATCTATGTAATGACGTACTTTTCTTGTGTAAGATAATATGTGCCTGTGTCAGGTTAAGCGGCTTTAGACAATGTTTTTAAAAGCCATGTCACAATAACTAATTTGTCGGTGACCTAGGTAAAAAATATCATACTTGGATGCACATCACATACGAGGGTTTTCCCAAGATTCCGTAGACAAGCTTTGTTTTGTAGGAACCCTACGTCATACATTAATGAAACTTCGTTATAGATTAAACAAACATTATCTAATAATAAATTTATGGACAAATATGGAGAATCCACATAATGTATTCCAATTTAAAAGACACATTTTATTGTCTGGTATAGAAAGGCCGTGCAGTACCCAAAAGTTGCGATTGAAATTTGTTATATTATTTTCAAAATCTTACGAAAATGTAATTACTATCCCGTATTTTTAATGGAAATAAAAAATCTTTATACTGTTTTATCAACTATATATCCGCAAGTATTGGTGTTTATGCTTTGATAAATATGAATTTTATAATGTTTTATAAACGTGGGGGTTGAAATCCGATTTTTTGCAAAATGGCAGCTGCGTTGGCACAGGCAGAGCACTGGACTATGATCAAGTGTTTTGATCCTGAATTCACTCTTACAGAAATGTATCAGTCATAATTGTTTAGTAGGCTAGGAAACATTTATTCGTCCTTAGTATTTAAAATGACTAAAACGGTTACTCTATGTATATTTGAATAACAGTATCTAAATTAAAAGACAGGGCTAAAAATGGGGAAGAGTTCCATTGCGCAACACCATTAGAGAAAAATAGACGAAAAGCCCGAAGAAATATAGCGTTTTCAAATTATTATTTCATACCTGTACATGCACATACTTTGTTTACATATTTTTAAGTTTGATCAAATCATAGTAATTAAGATATTTCACATTTATAACTATAAACATTTTGTTTCATTTAAGAATTTGATTCTGGTAATTGAAATATTTTCGCCAAATATTTTAACAGTTGACATTTGTATTTTTTGACGTTGCAGATTGCTCCGGGTGTTAGGGAACGATATCACTTTAAATGCAATTACTCGAGAAACATTCAAGTAAACATGATAAAACTTCGTAATTTATCTGGCAAGAACACACTTTATCCACCCTGAAAATTTTATTAAGATTAATTAACATTAATTTCTTTAAAAGATATGAGCTCAGTCTACGACATTTTGGGACAACCCTCGTACATATACTGTGTTGCAAAATTCCCAGGAACAATGTTTTTTAAGTAGCTTGCAGGAAAAAAATGCATAATAAAAGCAAAATGTTAAATGTTTATCTTTAAATGTTTAATTATTAAGACTACTCTTACCCTTTATAATGCTTATACAAAATATTGTTTTTATTTACAGGGATGGTTCTCAACACCACTTTTTCGGATAGATAATATTAATGTCTCACTTAAAAACTCAGAAAAATGTATATTTGATATTGAATTTATACATATATTAAAATGTTCTAAAGATACCATTCATAACTTTACATGTCATGCATTTTTACTGATACATATTTAGTAAAGGCCTCATGCACAATCAATTATGTATAGAACAAGAGGCCCATGGGCTACATCGCTCACCTGCGCACTGTGGCTGGGAAAAAGTAGAAATAGGATTACTTGTATTATTGAATAGTTTATATCCAAAAGTAGTCCCATGACCAATCATGGCTCTCTTATTCTTGAGAAGAAGATTTTTAAAGAATTTTCCTATATATTTCTATGTAAAACTTTGGGTGGTCATTGTGACCCCGCCCTACCCCTGGGTGTCATGATTTGAACAAACTTGAATTTACACTACCTGAGGATGTTTCCCCATAAGTTTCATTTTTCCTGGCACAGTGGTTCTTGAGAAAAAGATTTTTAAAAGATACCACCAAATTTTCAATAATTCCAAATTATCTGTTCTTGAATTAGGGCGTGGCCCTTCATTTGAAACTTTGAATCCCCTTCACCCAAGGATGCTTTGTGGCACGATTGATTGAAATTGGCCCAGCGGTTCTTGAGAAGAGGTCGAAAATCTGAAAAGTTTACAACAACGACGACAACGACAGCGACAGACAACGGACAAATTGTGATCAGAAAAGCTCACCTGACAACACATTTTGAAATCGCACAGCATCTTTTTGAGAGGAATGCTAATTTCCTTATTTAAATTTATTCTAAAGTAATCCGCAAAAAGTTTATTTGCAATATCAGAACGAGGTAAATTATTGACAAGCAAGTTGATGAAATAAGACTATCAACCGTCTGGTTTCAAGTCATCATTTCGTAAGTTCTATGATCGATACAATGACCTTGTCAGCAAATACAATTTATCATTGAGTCAAATGCTGACTGGCGTTTTTCATACTTATTGTTAGTCCATTATATATACACTGAATTGGCGTCGGATTGTTCCGTTATTTCCTGATCATGACAAGGAGCACACGGCGGGTGTGACTGGTCGGAAGGGGATGCTCACTCCTCCATGTCATCTGATCCCACCTCTGATGTTTCGGAGGTCCGTTTTTGCTCTGCTCTTATTTTGAATTGTTTTGTGGACTTTGAGATTGAATATTGTTCGTTATCTCCATATCATTTCTATATTTGCATTCTTGCATATTAATTACAAAGGGCAAGGAAGATATCTCTAATCAGTCTGTCATTAACGATAATAGAAGAGTTACTTAAACTCTAGAATATATATGTATTCTGTGATGTTGGTGTCTAATATTTATCTATTATTGCTTCCAAACATTTTAATTTCAAAAAAGATCACAGCACCTGTACGTCGAATATCTGAAACCCTCTATCGTGTTTCTTTTCTTCTTCATCCTATAAATAAAGTCTTGCTGGGTACGGTATCAGTGATGACTAATACTTTTAAAAGGTCCTATATCGTGAACTCTGGCCTTCGAATGACTTCATAATTCAATTAACAGTATTGATTCTTTAGAAGATAAAACAAAATGATGGGCGAGTTATGACATAGAAGAATGGATTTAATGTATCTGATGTAAATTATTGACTTACACTTACATCTACACTCATAAGTCCCTTTTTTGGAAGGAAACTCTTCAAAAATCATACGTAAGTTTTGAATGTTCTTCATATTCCGAACAACTTAAAGCCGCTTGGTCCGATTCTAATCGCTAAAAATACATATTCGTTTTTCTTCTTGAAAAATAATTGTCCATAAATTTTTTTCAGCTTTTGTCAAATTATATCCCCAAAGTCTTTTTCTTTTAAAAGATATCAAAATTCAAAAGTTAAAAAAAATAATTTTTGTTAGGTCACACAAAAAATAATCCTCTGTTGATATCGCGTGAAATCACTTCCGAAAAATTAAATTTGTCGCTTACATGTATATCTCATGAAGAACAAACCCGAGCATTATTTTTCACAACAATGTTCAGCTATACCTGTACACGGACACTTTGTTAGCGCCTTTAAAAAATCTTTCAAAATATCTTATTTTCCTTTAAATATCTTTTTTATCTTTATTCTTTAAATATGCATAATAATTTGGTGGTAGAATTATCTTCATTATTAGATATAACCGATTAAATTATTTTTTTCAAAATTGACTTCACAACAAATCTTAACTTCCCGTCAGGAGCTACTGTTTGTCAATAAGGTTTTTGATCTGCGTTTTCCATGTACGGATTGTTGTAATAAACTATTAAATCAATCTTATAATTTATTTTTATGTATTATCTATGTAATGACGTACTTTTATTGTGTAATATAATATGTGTATGTTTCGGATTAAGCGGCTTTAATGAATTTGAATTACCATATCTATATTCAATTTCGAGACAAAAATCCTTACAAACAAAGTTGCGTGGTCAATATATGTTCTATTAAGCCTTTTTCTTTACCTCTCACTGAGACTCAATGAAGGCGAAAAAATCAAGAGTAGTGTTCAACAATTTATTAGAGAAGTCGTATAAATCAATTGTGGATATAAACAAAAACCCAAGGACCGTTTAGAGTGTTTGAAATCACATTTTACAAGAATCATTTACATTAAGAGTTGCTACGTTTAAACATTACAGTGGCTGCAACGTTATTGTTGACAACATACACTAACGATCACGTTACTCGAACGATTCCGCACGATTAACGCACGATTAAACCTGTTACACGAACGATCTTTCACGCACACGACTCTACACGTTACACGATCTTACACGATTCCTAACACAAACGCACGATTCTTTACTCAAAATAGTTCAAAATATTTAAGAATCGATGTTTTCAAAACGAAATACGTCTTTATACTGATTTGATTTCAAAGAATTACAAATTATTATTATATTATTTTATCGACTATGAAAAAGAGTGGAAATAATCATTTCTTGAACTAAATACATGTAAAATTTATTTATTATTTTAGATTATAGATAATTATTTAGGCAAGTCTCCGACTTAAGAAAATGGATTTTTTTGTTCAATCAGAAGTTAGCAGTAGGTGGGCCGTAAAAAATTATTGAATTGGATTTCACAATACGAAGAAAGGGGGATACGATTGGGAAAAAATGGCAGCATGGAATGACTTAAATTACAAGTTAATTATAACCATATTTTCCATTGATTAAACATGTTTATGTATCTCTAAAAATAAACTTGCCAATAATTTAACATCATTTTTTATTCTTGATTTTAATTGAAAGTAAGCTCCAGTGATAAACAAAACCCCGATAGTCATGTCGAGTGCATGTTCATTCGCCGACCAAACATTTATGTAAGCTTTGTAAAATGTGAAATATTTATTTGTAAAAATATTCATTTATTATTATTTGAAAATTTTAAAAAATGTCTTGACCACAATTAAAAATAAAGAAGAATGATCATCAGAAAAAAAGTTAAACATCTAAGTACATTTTATCAAATTAAGTCATGTTATTTGACGAGAACATAATATTGTTTGACTTACTTTATTAGTTCGTTCTGCATTCAATCAATGTAAATTGCATTTCCTTCATTTTATATGGATTTAAACACAAAATACAAACGAAATGCTTGTTTAACAAATAACATTCCAATAAAAACTTACTAAACGAAATTTACACGTTTCTAAACGCAAGATCACGCACGATTAAAACCGCAAACGATTGAGTCTGATACACGAACGATCTCGCACGATACACGAACGAGTCTACACGATTGGTTTGTCAACAATAACGTTGCAGCCACTGTATTTATTAACCCCCACCCACCGCATAAATTACAGTCAAGGCTTTCTGGCATAATTAACTGCTGCTTTTTCAATAAACTTTAAACCCTTATATACATGTACTTGCCTTGACATTACTTTTTGCACATTTATTTAAAAAAGAACCATATTATATACAGAAGTACTCTGAAATGGATATAAAATAAATTTGCGAATTTCTGATTGATTGACTGACTGTATGTTATTTAACGTCCCATTCGAGAATTATAAACCCATAAAGAGATGTCACCGTTTTCCGGTGAAGAGCTTCAAATTTTGACCACTACTCGGCAATAAGGGCCATTGACCAGTGAGGGTTCTTTATCGTGCCAACACCGTCCTCGGATTTCAAGGTCTCATCTGAAGGACCAAAAACTTTCACTTGAAGTGCCCAGCGCAAGGCGAAGGAACAGTTGCCCCCCTTATCGACTTAGGTCAGTGGCGGCCGAGATACGAAGTCACGATCTCTCGTTCACGGAGCGAGCGCTCTACCGACTGAGATACCGTGAACGGAAATTTCTGATTGCCGATATCAATTTGATTTCTGTGGACAAGGTCTTCCAACAATCTTTCAACAATCTATTAAAACTCCATATACAAGTCGTGGCCCATATCTAGCAATAAAATGTTTCCAAACGATCCTTTTTAATAATATCAATACAAACACTACAGAAAACTCGAAAACTGTGGAATCACACATTTTCGTTGGGGGTTAATTTTTTGTTGTTTTTGAGGTATGAAGAGACCCACAAACTCATGTCCACCACGAAATGTAAGATTTTACATAGAGAACTAATTGAAATTCTACATCCAAGAAATCTAAATTCAATGAAACAAGAGCCACGAAATTTTTCCCTCACGAAAATATTTGATATTACAGTATTGCAGTTGTTAAAATCTATCTTGCCGGTATCAAAATGCATATTTTAAAATTACATGTACATTAATAAAAGAACAAAGCATCTATTATGGTGAAGGGATATAATGTTTATTACATATCGTTAAACAATAAGAGGTCAAAAGTAATCTACCAGTAATAATGCTATTAAGACACTCACGTCTATGATAAGAAGAGAACTTCTTCCTCCATTTTAATCAGTATGAAGTTTGGGCTTCTGGTATACCTATTAGTGATCACATTTAACGGTAAGCAAAGCCTTTCCCCGTTGAAAATTGTTTTACATTTCGAAATAAAGGGAAAAAAATCTAAAACTGAAAAAAATCGTAAGAATTATTTATTTTTAACATATTTTTTCATTTGAAAAATTACATTCCGTATTAAGGAACACGGCTCACTCAAGGGCTTTTACAATGTAGCCCTTTGAAACTGCTCAATTTTAGTCAACAATACATAAAGGTCAAGATAACTTTAGACTAATTTTTATCATCAATTTCAGTTTTTCCCCGTACTTAACGGCTTTAGCAGAATTATGTAGAAAATACGGTATTTTCATGACATTCAATTTAAAGTACAAAAAGTAAACCGGATATCTATATTAAATTTGATATTGATTTAAGGGGGATGTACTGCCATATTTAGTGCAGTGAGAACAAAATGTAAACATTTCTTCAAATGGCTAAAATACATTATATTTTGATCAAATTCTAAACCCTTATGATAAAGATACAATAAATATGCATAACTGAATGCATGTTGTGCTTATATAATCTATACTTTTGCAGAAAAATGCTTTTGATATGCACTTTAGAACTGCGCAGCTACAGAATTCAGCAGAGCCTTAAAAAATCCAAAAAAATACGCAAAGTGTGCATTAATGTTCTCTCTACAACCATTTGTTGAGAAAATGCCTAAATTTTGCACTTTTAAATGATAATTTTAAGTTTAAAACAAGGTATCGTTGTCTTCAAAAAGAGTGTAAAGAACCCTGAAAGTAGTTCATTGATAGCAGCACGTGGTCTATTTTTAGCACAGAATTTTGTTTTCCAGACCTCTTCTTAATATGGAAGGAAATAACAATCTTTAAATGTAGAAAAGAATTACAGTTGCCAAATATTTCAAATAATATGAACACTTTTAAAAGAGGAATTGTGTTGTAGTGTGGCTTGAAGTAATTTATTTAGTATTATTATCAAACAGTTGTTAAATAGTGTACGTATTGAAATAAACTTTTTGATTCCAGGTAAGGAAAAATGAGCACCATCAAAGTTTAAAATTAAGAGTTTGTAAGTCTGCCACAGATAACTTATAATATCTATCAAAAGTTTAATTATCACCAATGAAACACAAAGAAATTAAACACATAAAATCGATATGAAAAACCTTGTGTTAGTATCTACTAGTACGAGGGGTGATCGAACTATCTCTATATCTACAAAACAACAATTTAGATTAGAAGCAAATTTGGTGCACACTCAAGTTCTATAAATAGCATATGCCGAATAAAGTTTTGCTCACAATGTGAAAATAAAGTCATTATGCAGGTACTTGTGACGAAAAAACTGCATTTGAAGTAACGTATAAGAATTTGTTCAAAGTTTATTAAAACAAATGACTTCCTAATAATTCAATCAATGATTGGATAGACCGTTTTAGTGAAGGAAGGCAGATGGTTGAATATGATACTTGTTATGTTGCACGGTGAAAGCAAATTTGAAAAGGGGTTTGTTTTTAATTAAGCAATATGCTATCAAAGGTCTCCAATTTACACTTTGAAAAATACTTGAATATTACTATCAAATACCTAAGATATCGTTTAATTTAATCACCCCCCTCCTATATACTCTGTCAAATAAACATTTACAATTTTCATTACAGCGGAGCAACATTTGAAAAGGAATAAAATCATTCAGAGTGGGTTAGGAGATTTAATGAATAACTTTTTTCTATTTGCCCATTTTGTCAAAATTACAATTTCACAGAGTAAAGAAGAAAATCAACACAATTAAATATTTTATAACATCTTTAAAATGACGTTTGGTGGACCTCCCAACTCAGGGAAAATTATTGGGTCCGTATTTATGGTGAGAAAAAAAATTCCTTAAAATTCAAACATATTTGTTGACGGAAGAAAAAAAATCCTGTAATTGGATGTAAAATAAAATTGAGTCGGGCCACTTTTAGGCAGTAGATCGGGAGAGAGGGCAACCAAATATATTTACAACAAATGGTCTTATAAGGCTAGTACATGTTCCATCACATACTTAGTAATGCAAAATATTTTAATCTTTGGCACTATTTTGAAAAAAGAACATATAATTTTCGGAAGGGGGGGGGGGAGTCTCTCATTTTTTGCGATGATAGATAGACATTGCATATGCAATGGACCTTTGTTTGCAAACATTGTGATTGCTTCTAAATTTAAAAAAAAACAACTCTATATATTTTATCAAGCTTCGTATGTTCAATGATCGAGAGCTTACAACGTAGTCAACATAATGAGACATGATGCATTTTTATGTCCAAACATTACTCCATACGATGTGTTGGTCATTGCAAACAATCAAGCTATTTATGTGAGGTGCCTAAAGGAAAGCCTTTAACTGCCTTTTTTTTTATCTAACTGCTAAACAAAATAGACATATGTACCAACTTTTCGAATGTAAGACATGTAATTGCAATTTGTTTTTCATGCACCGCATATTGTTTAACATTTTCAAATTAAATGCTAAGCATCCTCCTTGCAGTGCCCCATTTCAAAATAACTTCTATTGCCACAGAAAAAAAGACCCGAGTAAACACATATGTTTAGGGCATTTTTTAGCTTTTTCTTGAGTTTTAAAGAAACCAACAAATATAAATATGGTTATAAACGCATCTATCCACAGCAGATAAATGCACATGTCAAGCACGTGCTCAGTGTATTAATATTTTCTAGGAAACTCGAGCTGTGAACAGAACAGTTTTTCCCGATTTGCTGGAGTGGGGTTAAAATCGCGTTTTTTCATTAATCAGACGAAGCGATGCATCAAATAAAAGTAGTAAGTAATATTACCTAATGATTATTACTAAGTAATTTCTTGTCTTGATGTTTTTATGGTCGCATTTATTCTAAAATCAATGTTATTCGAACTCTGTGCGACAGAGGAATGGCGGACGAAATAAACACATGGTCTCAGGAAGACACACATATGAAAAATCAAATTTTCAAGAATTCTAGAAAATGACAAGAAAAAAGCGAAACAAATGGTTGTAGCCATATTATCAATGAATCAAACTAACACCATTTTCAATGCATTTTTCATCTCGTGAATGCTGTAGCTGCGCAGTTCTACAATGATTAATTTCCTCCTAATTAAAACAAAATAAACTTAATTATTTACTAATTTTGGTCTCTAACAGTAGGTAACTAGTGCATTAACACTTTGAGTAACTTTGGGCTAGTTTAGACGAGTATTAAGCGCATTCTTGGCATTTCTTATTTCACACCAGACTAGATCCAATTGGCTTGTACATCCCCCTTAAAGAAGTGGCTATGAACATGCTAGTACTAATTATCGTTTTCTAAGAGACTGTAGGCAATCTGGATACATTTCCTTTGTGGAATATGAAAAAAAAAACTCCCATTTTCATGACTGGTTTTCTTAATTTTTCATTAAAAATGACTGCTTAAAATACAGTTTTTCGTCTTGTTTATCTACAAATTATTCCCCGAAACATCTTATTTGACCACGCTTAAGTTGTAAAGCATCAATAAAGGAACTTATTTCTCAAATTTGAAAAATTTGTTCGCACCATTCATTTACTAGGTCTTGACCTTAAATGTCATTTAGACATTTGGTGATTGCAAATTTATAAAAATGATGTAATATTCTGGCTAGTAAATGCATTATGACGTCAGGCAAAGCGTCGAATTTCCTAAAATTCTCATATGAAGCAGAATTTGTGCAAAATCTTATGCGCAAAAAAAGAAAACACTTGCTGTGGCTTTTAACTCGACATTTAGATATATCGACGACGTGTTTCAATTAACAATGGTAATTTCCATACCTACGTCGATACGATATATCCTGGTGAGCTTGAGATAAAAGATACCACAGAGCCTGACACATTTGCTTCACACTTGGTTATTTTACTTCAAAAAGGCACAATGGTAATCTAACAACCAAGCTATATGATAAACGTTATGACTTTAACTTTTCTATCGTCAACTTCCCTTACATATGCGGCAATATACATTCATCCTCTGCATACGGAGTATATATTTCTCAGTTGATTCGATACGCAAGAGCATGCTCTAGGTATTAGCAATTTCTAAAACGAAGTAAATTATTGACAAGCAAATTGCTGAAAAAAGATGGTCAGCAGGATTGCTCACTCCTCAATGGCACCTGGTCCCACCTCTGATGTTTGTTTGCTCTGCTTTTATTTTATATTGTTTTATGGACCTTGATATTGAATACTGTTCATTATCTCAATATCCTTTTTTTGTAGGAAATGTTCTGTATTTGTAGGTTATGTCTTGTATTTGTAAATAAAATCCTGTATTTGTATGGAATGTTTTTTGCTTTGTAGAAAATGTTCTGTACTTTGTAGATGTGTTCTTTATTTGAGGAAAATGTTACGGAATTAAAGGAAATGTTCTGCACATCCCGAAAATGATTTATATTTGAAGCCTAAGGCTGCATTTGTATGGAACAACCAACAAGTGTTAAGAATCAGTGCTGTCGCCCGCGTGCTGCAGTGGTTAGAGCGTCTGCTCTAGAGTCGCGAAGTAAGGAGTCGATCCTTACGTCGTGGATAGGAATCCCATTGCGGGACGTGGAGACCGGTCCTTCGGATGAGACCGTATAAACCGAGCCTCCGTGTCGCAGTAGGTGCTATGCCCTCACTGCTCAAAGGCCCTGAGTGCCGAGCATAGGACAAAATTGTAGCCGTCCACCGGCAAGTGGTGTCGTCTCCATATGAGTGAAAAATTCTCAAGAGGGACGTTAAACAACATACAATCAATCAATCAATCAATCAATCAATCAATCAGTGCTGTCCTCTAATTGTTCTTTAATCATATGACTGCCGTCATGAGAAAAGGGCCCTTATCTTTTGACGTCACAATGCTCAGAAAACGACGTCAAAGTCGCGGTATTGTAAACACGGAAGTAATTTTGTTGACTGCATTTTGTGAACAAGAAATAAAATTGAATTTCAAAGTGTATCAAAAATGTGAAATCTGACATTTTTAATAGGTATATGATATTATTTACTATTTAGTACGTAAATTTATTCATAATTTTGTTAAAGTATTTAACTTGTTGATCAGGGGCATTGGACATGCACGTTGCTGTGGAACACAGGAACAGCGATTAAAACGATGTCTATGCATGACTGAATTAAAGCTGCTGCATATTTGTTTTCTGAGCAATTTACAAATGCTGAAATTTGAATTAATGATAAGAAGTCTTAATATCAAAATATATATTCCATATACATGTACATTTTTTTCAGAGAGAGAGAAAAAAAGAAAAAAGCGCGAGTGAGAGATCTTTGCACACATAGTAATTACCGTTCTTATTTATTAAAAGTGCTACTTTTACATCATAATTTAAAATGTATTTAGCCATTTTAAATTTAATCCATAATTAATCTAACTGATGTACCCCGATAGCCAGCCTTCGGAAACCTTCTAGATCAACAATATTTTTTATATAAATTAACAGTAAGAGAACATGCTAAGGGAAAAAAAGGGGAAAAAATACGGAGGATGGGGATGCCACGAAAATTTTGCCAAAAAAAAATTGTTTCAAAAACACATTTAAAATGATCAAATAAATACATTCAAAGGAATTGTATGATAAAAATTACTATTGTTTTCTGAAAAAAATTTCCGATGAAATGATTGAATGAAATCCTACTTGAACCTGTATTGCAATATGTTAAGAAATTAAATACAGCTAGTGTAGACTTTTCCCAAAAGCATTATACCGTATGTTGGTGGAATTAATAATATTGCATCGACAGTGATATTATGAATGAGGATATTTATAAACCAAAAGAAAAACACTAGATAGATTACAGTAAGCGAAAAGACGTACGAATTTCTGGCTAATGTCAGATATAGGTACATGTATTAAGAATACATTACTATAGATAGAGCAAAAAGTATAAGTGACAAGTGGTTATGGGTGTAATTTCCAGAAGTTATGAAAATGTGCGTGAAATATATTTCACTGACTATTGAATTCATAATTTGAAATAAATGAGTCACGTTCTGCGTTGAAATCTTCAAATCTGATACATGTATCAAAATACCCCGCATATCTCTATCGACATTAATTTCTTTAAGTTTTGTTAAAATCGAGATAAGATTTTACTATTATATCATAATCCTACATGTAACATGACTCTACGGAAAGGAATTAATAAACAAACACAAATATTTCTACTTTTAAAGAAAATATTGGCCATTACAGTCCACGCAAGTAGGAACGAGGTAGCTACATTGAAAGTCCGCCCCCCCCTCCACACACAAAGATACACACTTTTTGTTGCAGCATAGTCAAATTCGTGCACTACAAAAGAATTAGGCCGTGTGTTATGTTTGATTAAAAAAAAATGATACTGAAAGAAGATTGAACCTACCCCCCCCCCCCCCCCCCCCCCCGGCGAAATTGGATTCGAGTTTCCACAACCCCCTCTCTCTTTTTTTGGTTGAGTAGTTTTTTTAAGATACGAGTCAAATGTGTGGGGTTTTATAATATGTTTGGTTTTGAAGTAATAAATAGGAAAATAATGGTTTGCATAAATATTTTAAGCGAATGAGAGTCAATTTAGAGCGGTAAATTATTACTTAATTAAAAGCATCGCCTCATACAAAAAGCATGAACGTGTGCTGGACGTAATATTTCATTAGTGGATGAGACAATCGCGTCGAAATGAGAAAAAACCTATAAGGTGTCAAGTTAATTAGCCATTGTTACGAAAGAAAAAATGATTAGATGACCTTTCATGGACGCGTGGAAGATTTTGTTTTGCTTGTCAAGGAATATTTGGTGGTTGAAAGTGCTCACAACTGAAAAATATATAGCTCCCCCCCCCCCCCCCCTGCACACACACACCTAATATGGCTTCCTACGGGCCTGTCGTTCTTGCGTAAAAATATACTAGCATCTATTCAGTTTCCGTTTCAAATAGATTTCGTCAAAATCTTAATGGAACTGAACACAGAAAAGTCTAGCTGCAGATCTGTAGCGTTATGTAAAACCATAACGTTACTAGATCTGCAACTAAGAAAAGTCAAGCACGGCGTTTAGTGAACATATATAAGAAAGAGAAAAGAACAACACAATTGACCATCTTTTAAAAAAGTAAGCAGTTAAAAGACGGTTTCAATTTGAGGTATAAATTCAAAGAAAGTTTCAACTTAAGGTACGGTATATAAACAATTCATAAGAGAATCCTTTACAAGTACATTGTACATGTTTTTGCCTATTTACGATGTTTCTACTCCATATCTAAGATAGGCGAAAAAATAAATTGTTTAAACAATGGAACCTTAGAGCTTTAAAAAATTTAAATAAAAAATTCAAAAAAGTAAAAGTTTTAAAATCCGCTTGCAAGGAAGTAGCGAACGTATAGTATAATTGTTTAATTCATGAATTTTTATGAACAGAACAAACGTTTTTAAATGGTGTTTTTCATCCTATCGTAACAATTATAGGGAACAAAGTTACGTGCGTGTCACGGTGTGTGTTGGTGAGTGAATGCTGACTCATATGATTTTTTTTTAATATCGGGATCGATGTGCTTTTTGCGAGGGGGTGCCCCGTTTTGCGCGCGGTGCCATTCTGCATGGGATTCACTCTCTGTATATATTTCCTTTAATCTTTAAGTGTCCGAGTGCTTTATATATTTTATAAATCGAATTAGATTATTTTATATAAAAAGGATAATTTGTATGGATTTAAACAAATATTATTTCCCTATTGATTATGTTACATGTATAAACTACTAGGATTCCTAGATTCTGTCTAGACCCCCCTTTTACGAAATAACTAGATCTGTTCTAAAATAGTATAAAAATAATAATAATATACAAAATTCTTTAGGAATAGTTACATACTAGTCGCTTGGAAGAAAATAATAAATACTTTTTCAAGTTTTAAATTCTCAAAATGATTGAGGTTATTAAAATAACGTAATTTTAAGAATTTCTGAAAAATGAATTAGACGCAGGCGATCATTACGTTTCAGTGAGTAGCGTCAAAGTTGTGTTTGGAGCGCCTCACTAAAATGCTCATAAAATACTGAAAAAGTGAGATACTTTCAAAATTTATGTAAATTTGCATTCAGAAAGAGTCCGGCTATCAAAATTCACCAAAAAGTCATTTTATGAAAATTTGACCTTAAGGGCCCTTTTCTCGTGACGGCAGTCATATGTATTTTTTATAAATTTATGTAATGGTACAATTAGTATGAAATTGCACAAAATACAAAATTAATCGTGAGACATTTTAAATAATTTAAGGAAATATCATAAAATTTTAGAAAATATTCCGAAATGTTGGGAAATACCTAGCAATTGACGGAAATGTAATAATATTGTAATTGGGGGAATTTTTTTATGTAATTAACGGATATGCCTTGTAATTGACAGAAATGGCTGGTAATAGACATAAATGGTATGTAACTGTTAAAATGCTCTGTGGCTATTGAAAAAAAATACTGATTTTAGGGAAAATGTCCTATAGTGAACAAAATATGTTTAGATCTTTGTGAATTTCATGTTCTTGTCGGAATCTTCCTGTAGTTGTCGGTGTCAGTAGTGGTACCACGTGTCAGAATGGGTGGACGGGATACAACTCTAGGTGTTACCTGTTTGTTATGCATATGTCAGCAGACTGGAACGAAGCATCGGTAAAAAAAATTCACAATTCTTATCGTGGCGCAGGCAGTGGTTAGAACGTATGCGAAGTAAGCAGTCCATCCTTAAGACGCAGGTTTGAATGCCACTGTGGGAATTGGAGACGGTTCTTTAGATGAGATCGTACAAACCGAGGTCTCGTGTCGCATAGAATTGATCCCTCGCTGCTCAATGGCCCTGAGGGCCGAGTAAAGGACAAAATGTGCAGCTCTCCACCGGCAAATGATTGACTCTTCATATGAGTTATACATTTACAAAAGGGACAATAAACATTATACAATCAATCAATATAGATTCTATCAAACATTTATAAAATAACATTTCTCCAGATTTAACTTTTTTAAGCTTTGGTGCACTTTATTACGCATAATGTATTAAAGTTTGTGATATTTTTTTTTAATTTATTTTTTTTCAAGCAATTTTGTCACACACAAAACTCACGACTGGCAGAGATTGATAATGCAAGAGAAGACAACTTCTTAGTCCAACATCTCAAAGATTATGGCAGATCGGGTAATATGCATTATCATAAACACTCTTTTATATTTCACCTACAAAAGACTCAATTTTCCCCTACAAAAATAATGTCGTGAAATGTTTAGCTAACCTTAGACGAAGGTGGTTGTTAAATGACCATCAGAGGTTTAAATAAAAATTTATTGTACACAAGAAAAATCTTCTCAAGAACTGATGTTTTAGATGTTCGTATTTGCTCTGCTCCTTTTTTGTATTGTTTTATGGACTTTAAAGCTTGAATACTGTTCGATGTCTCAATATATTTTTTTTAGCAAATTTCTGGGTGGGCGGAACTGACGTCATTATAGAAGGCGATTGGATATGGAGCTTGTCCCAGACACCTATCCATCACTATACCCACTGGGACCCGCGGGAGCCAAATGACCTGGGCGGTGATGAGAACTGCATGGAAATGCGACAGGAATATGGCTATATGTGGAACGATATGTCTTGCCATGTTCGTCAATATTTCATTTGTGAGCAACCGTGAGTATTTCTTCATTCCACTTCTGTGGGAAGAACTCATCATACGTTCAGATAAACAACGTAAGATTAATTTTGAATTTCACATATTTTAACTCCAAGAATTTTATATTTTTTCCTTGAGAAGTTTTGACATATAATTTAGATAATTATACTTCTGTTAAAATGTTTCCTATATAAAGTTCGGAAGGTAAAATAGCTATCTTTTATAGTTCACGCATAGCAAAGCTATACCTCGGGGTATAATTTTTGCTATCCACCCTCGGAAAATTTTCATGCAATATTTGCCTCCAAGTTTGATTTCCAGCGATAAATCTATTGTCTGATGACTTCAATAGCATTGTGACGTCATCGGGATTTCGGATTATTCTTGCAGTATTATCTTACTCCAAAAAATTCAAACCTCAGAAATTATATTATACATCAGTATAATAAAACGCTTATCCACTGTTTGTGAGTGGGATAGCTCTTTTATCAAACCCGCGACAGGGAACTATCCCCCGAGGGCTTGCCAATCACAACCAGTGGATACGTGTTTAATATTACATTGTTTTCTTTGCTCTTTATAAATATTACATGAATTGCGGAATGAAGTTAAAAATTAATCAACTCGATTAAGAATAGGTTCGAAATATGGCAGAGGTCGTAAACAGATCTCCAAATTTGTAGTAATTCCTAGAAAATCAGTACAGATACATCCTACTTTAAGTAATGTTATGAAGTATGATGTATCATATCACGCTTTGTGCTCTTATAATCCATACTGTCTGTCTGTTTCAATAGTGCAGTTTCTTTTTTAACTCGACATTGAATTGATGATCTAATTACTGTATGCATTTGGCGTTTCAGGAGTGGACTAGGACCTGTGGTCGGATGACGCTACTACTAAATCTTATATCATTGTAAATCATAATAGATCAGAATTGGTTAGGTACATTATCTACGTGAGAAACATCTATAGACATTATTCAAATTAAAGACATCAAAATTACGTTTTTTAATCCCTTTAGGCAATAACAACAACCGAACGACGTCATGATAAAATAATATATAAACATTTCCTGCATACCTTTTAAAATTATGATTGGAAGTCTGATATGTTTATGCTTTGAATTGAATAAACGGAAGAAAATAATATAAACATTAACAATAAAACAGTAAGTGTATCGTTATTGCATAACACTTTTTTTGCTGTATAAAGTTTTCTACTTTACATTTGTATTCTCTGCTCTGTGACAAGACCTTTTAATGTGTATATGACCCTTTAACCTTGACATTAGAATTTAACACATTTTTAATGATGAGAATTTCAACTTGGTCATGTTTTGAACTGTTAGAATTCGGGCTTATATAATTTATTCTATAGGTTTTTTTTTGACGGTGATTACAAACATTATTCAATAAAAATGGATAGTTTAAGGTACTGATGAAGCAAACATGGATGTTATCTCTACGCCAATATAGTTGTTTTTAATCCAAATAAACAAAAAAAAAAGGAAAACGCCTTTGAAATTTTGCAGTATGATGACCGTAACTAAAACATTCCAGTGAAAAGATGATGACCGTTATATGATTATACAGATTATTATAAGTAGACTGTAATTAAATATTTTTAAAACTCATATTAGATGTATTAGATTTCTTTTGAAAGCAAATTCATGTTTGTTACCGCACGATCAGCAACGGGAGGAACCCCTCCTTATTTTTTTTTTTAAACATAACTTTTTCTTTTGAAAACGATCTTTGGTGAAGCGATCCCCTCCTCTCTAAATTGTTAGCTGCAATGTATGCTGTATTATTTCATACAAATAAGGCAATCATTAGATAATAGAAATTAAAATGAACTACTTGTATATTACCGGTAATCAAGTAATCAAGGTGATACTTTGAAAAACGAACTAAATGGCTCGCCAAAATCTAATATTGTAAAAATGGATCTAAAATTAGACTAGATGAGTAACAATGATATGTAATTAAAATGTATGAGCCAATCCATGTTCTTACCTAGATAGCATGACTACGCTGGTCCAACGTTGGCTAATGGTTGGACCTTTGGCCGATGGTTGGCGTTGGGTTTATTATTTATTTCCGATTTCTAGACACAAAATTCAAAGTTTGTTTCATGCAATCTTTATCTTTTAGTAAGCTTGCCTTAGTTCTAAATAAAATATGTCACTAGATCAGTCGCTTATCACTTTAATTTATCTATATATAATTTATAAATTAAAATGTATCATTGATCTATGTTAATTATTACCTTAATCAAAATCTAATTTGTAAATTTTATTTTTAAATATCTTTAAAATTTTGGCTGTATCAGTTTTCTCTTATATTTTCTACCATTAAGAAAAGAAATTTTGGAAATGTTATTTTGTGCTTCACCGGTTTCAGGGAAATTAAATCTATGGTGGCATATTTATACCATCTAAATAACATTTTGTTAACATAGCATATCATGTCAAATCAAGATAACTATCTCGTCAAGTCACAGTAACTTTCTAATTTGGCGACAGATATCGACTTTATATCTTGTCCAGTCAAGGTAAGATATCACATTTATTGCAATTGCTTTTTTATTGATGATGCAAGATAAATTAGCTCGTCAAATGTGATATCTTATCTTGACTGAACAAGATATAAATACGTTTTTGTTGACAAACCAGAAAGCTATCATAACTTGACGAGATAGTTATCTTGACTTGACATGATCTGCTATGTTAACAAATAGTTATCTGGATGGCATAAATATGCCACCATACAAATCTTATAGGATTAATTAAAGTTCTCATTTTATTTAATAAGTGGAAATAACATGTTGAATGAAGAGAAGAGTATTTGCTGCCATTATTTTAAAACAGAATTGTAAAGAATTACATTTAATATTATAATTCACCACGTGATATCTTTCCTCTTGTCATTTTCACAAGCTTTTAATTGGGGTTTGGAACGTGCCACAACCTTTGGTTTACAAAAGAGAGAGAGCGAGTGTAAGAAGAAGCTGTTTTTCTCTTTTAAACCATGATTACATGTTTGTCTACTAACACAAGATTACTAATGCAAATATACAACTTCTGTGAAGAGGAGCTATAGAACAATAGACAAACATGCGCTGACTATTTATAAAGTCAGTAAAATGGAACTTCAAGGCGTCCTCATTATCGTCCGGAGATTGAAAAAATTGTGATTGCCCTTGCCTTAGAAAAGAGATTCCTACATCGTAAATACACATTTTAATTAAGTAAAATTGTAGACTAGACGGTGATCACGCTTGCAATTAAAAGAAAAATGTCTATTTTGAAAGTTTATTTTGAAGTAAATTTCGCATAAGTGCAGTCATTCCTTATTCTCAAAACACCAGATTATTCCAATTTGGCTCTGTTGCAACAAAAAGAGATGACAACCACGGAATTATCATTTTAACAATTATATGTTTTGATCGAGAAATAAGGTTGGCAAATGGTTAGAAATGTTTTGTTTGAAAATGATATTTATGTCTTTGTACAAATACCTTCATATATCTGCTTCTATAACAAGGGAGAAAACAAACTGAATTTAGTATACTACGGTCATCCAGCTTCATTGAAAAAATTAAGATTATGGTCATCTTAGTGTTTTTTACGGTCATCAGTCTCAGAAACTTTGAGGTCGTACTATAGCTTTATTTTCTTAATTTCAAGTAAGTTTTAATAATCAATAACAAGTTTTCATTGGCTTACATTCAATTTTCAGCGCAGTTTACACAGGAATGCTAACAAATGTTTCAAATCTTTCATCCGATCGGTTAAGCCGACATGTTTTGATGACCGTAATATATATTACAGTCACCGGCTTTCCTGCAGTGATAGGTGTATTCCTTTAAAAAACTTTTCTTTGGATATCAACATTTTTCCTTTTTTACTTTGACCTTCGGAGATTTTGACTTTTGACTTGCATTCGAGAAAGAGCTATATGCGGTATATTGCATATCTTTGCCCCCACAAAGTCACATTTTGAAAAAATTCTTGAAATGTGCTGAATTCTATTAATTGTATGAGAAATATAAATTAAGAGAACATATTAAAGTTTCAAAGTAGTTTATTGACAATTTTGTTTTTGTGACATCACAAGCTAGTCCGATTTTAAAATATTTTTAGAAAGAGGACAAAATGGACAAAGTTACAACAATATTAGCTTTAAAATTTATAGAGGGCAAGTTTGCTCAGGAATAATATTTACATATTTCATTGATATTTTAATTTGGCACATTATATCAAAATATTGACCCTAATCAGACCTGCGCTCGGTGAATTTTATTTTAAATATCAATGTAATATATATATTTTTCTGCAGACATCATGAAAAATTTTGATTTACGTCTTTTTCGTGACGTCATTTCAAACGTATGACATCATTGCTTATAAAAATATTCAGTGCTTTGATGTCAGCATATAGCTCCTGTTTAGGAACATAATGAAATATTTCTCATTTTTTTCGTCAAAGATTTATTTGGGGGGCAATTATCGGATACTACCGAATAAAGCTTTTTCAACCTTCACCAAGAACTAATATGCTAAGGTATCATTTTTCTACAAACTGAAGATAAAAAGAGAAGAGGGTCTGTATAAAGATCACGTCTGAATATAGCCGCTTTCTTTGAAATCCTTATGTAATTGTAATTTGCCATATACCGTATATTGAGTTAATATAGCAGGGGGGGATTTTCGTGTGTTGATGATAGATTGCTAAAATTGTAATCGCTTCAATAATTAATGCTCTTCTTAGTGCCCGTCTACGTAGAGCTGAAACCCTGCGAGCGCTATAATAAATTTTTCCTAAATTTGAGCAGGCAAAATGCCAATGTTTACACTCGCCTATACTGTAGTTCACGTAGTACTGAGAGGCGATTCCTCCTTCTAATCCCTGTCACTCAGGCCTATACCGCAATGATAATCCCCCCAGTGATTATTTATATAAATAGATAATATTTCTAATCCTGAGTGCATCATTTTTATTTGAACAATGTTTCGAAAAAAGCACTCTTTGAACAATAGATTTTGTCGCTTGACATCTCACCCACAAAGACCCCAAAAGCGGGGGACAACAATTTTTTGATTTGCTAATAAGCTTTCTTTATTGAAGGAAAATAAACATGATATACTCCACCATTTATTTCAATCATGGCAAAAACAGTTTTTGCATATGATAAGCCATGATGTAGATGTGCTTTAAGATTTTGATATAATGTGATATAATATAATTGATTGAAGAACTAAAAAAAACTAGTTCAATAATGAATTTAAATTTAATAGTGTTCACAGATTTGAAAAGGAAAAACTCGACCAAATTTCACAAAAATCAGCTTGGCGCCAAAACATTAATTAAGAAACATGATCAATCAAATCAAATCGTCAATTTTCGGTCAGGATTGGGCAAGCTTGGAAAAGATTTTATAAATCTATCATCCTGACATAGCTACCAACATAGAGGTGAACAACTGATAGTGGTGCCAGATATTATGTCAAAGGAGAAAGGCGAATCCCCTCTGTGTACAGAGCATTGTGATCTACCAGGGCACAGCAAACCCCTGCCAGACATAAGAAGTGGCCTATTGATCTTGTGACCTTAGTGTCAGAGCCTGACCAATTTTATCTAAGCCAAACTTGCAATTAACTTTTTGAAATATTAGATCTAGGACTTTCATGTTTCACAGGCATATTCCATGTGACAAGAGCTTCCTTTGCAGCCCAACCATTTTGGTCTTTTAGCCTTGACCTTTGGTATTTAGCTTTGAATCTTAGAAACTTAAACCATCGCCAGTAGCTACTATAAGTAAGGGTGTACCAGTGTTTCACAAACACATGTTGTTATATATGTTGTTATATAATATATTTATAAAGTTCAAGTCTTGTCGTTTATGTTAATCAAATTTCACCAC